ACGCACTTAAATGCCGCAGTTCTCGTTTTAGATTAATGCGTTGTGGTTGTGCAGCAGTCTTGCGACAAGGCCTGCCCTTAGCATGTATACATCCTTGTATACACTACAGGCATCTAAACCCTCAACCCCTAAACCCTCAACGTGCATAGACGGCAAGACGACAACATCTTAACATCATGCATCTTCTACGGGTGAGCCTGACATCTTCATTTGAGGTTTAGGCTTTAGGGCTTAGGGCTTGGGTATAGGGACATCCTCCACATCCTCCCAAATCCGCAAGCAGAGCCAGGGCAAACTTCTTCCTGGGATATGGTGGCGGATGGGCTGGAGACCATGCCAATGCTGGGTCCTTGGTCGTGCAGCTGCCGACTTGCACTTGGAACATGTTCCGCTGGCTTAAGGCTTAGGTTTAGAGTCCAGTATAGAAGCCTAAATTATCACCTATACTATTTTGGGGTTCCTTATGATAAACATAGTATAAAGGGCCCCAAACCCGATTCTAATTCTTAAGGCCTCTATATTAGGTCTAGAGTCTATATGAGCTATGACGCTGCGAACCCTAAGCCACCTCGAAGGCAGCTTCGCTTGGTCGCAGGCCGGAGCTATTGGTGTGCAGCATGGATGCACGATGACGCTTCTTGGCTGCTGGCGAAGTAGAGCCCAAAGCCCTCAACCCCAAACCCCTATAAGGGATCTCTTTGGGTTGAACAAGATTCAAGGTTTACCCTGCCCTGCACCCTAAACCCCAGGTTTACTGGTCACCGGACGTCCCACAGTACCCATAATGCAAATTCAAACGAAGGGTCTCTGGGCCAGCACATCTGGTATTCTACGTGCGGACTAGGGATTAGTGACATATTTTCCTGTTCGAACCCACCATGGAATCTTTGTCACAGTTGGGTTTACATCTTTATTATGGCTACTTATACCCCGTAAGGAATAGAAGTCGAAAGTCTTAATACTATCCCGACCATGAAAATCCACATGACTATTGTGCAGTGAATGCCTCAACATGACCCCAGGCTTGCTCATACGCTGGTGCCCGCACGATCTCGGATGATTTGCCATCTTGTTCGACTTGACTCTGTGAATCTTTTCGGGGTTGTTTTAGTGCCCTTGACCTCCGGCACTGATCTTTGGACGGGAAGTCGCGGAGGATTTCACCAACAAGCACGGAACGGCGCCCCCTTCTGACTTCGCGGTGCGAGGATGTTGTTCTGTGATGGACAGTTAGCGATCGCGCACTCGTGTGCGACTGCCTGCGGACTACTGACTACTGGGCATTTCTCTCTGAAGCGACTTGCGTGCATCCCGCCAGAGTCTACAGAGATTCGGACGCGCCAGATCCAAGTCGCACATTTCGTCGTGGGCTCCCTATGAACTCGAGCTTCTATGATGACTACTATTTTCGATTATTTTTTACAGTTAGTAGTATTACTATGATTGTTACTATTGCTATCATTCTTGCCACTATTATTGGTTTGTCGGCTCAAAGCTAGCCTTGAGGTTTGATCTGTCCAACCCTAGGCCCTCCCAAGTAGGGGCCGAGGAATGGAGCATGCTCGAACCGTAAGACTCCAAGATTTCAAGAAAACTAAATCCAGAGATTGGTGTCGAAGGTTTTACAAATGTCAGAGACTGGCGTCGAAAGTGTTATATATGTATCTGGCTTCATTTGGGAGTCTTACGGAATTGCGGACATCGTGTTGGCGCGATGGCCAAAAAGCGGGAATTTCGCAAAATCAACGGCTTGCTCTGACGCCACCAGAAGCTCACATTCATCACCCCTTTTGCCTACAACCCTTGGCCGGCACTGTAAATCTAAACAAAAGCTGGGCCAAAGGACCCTACATGAGAACAGTGGTAAGACCTCCAAAACCGCTTGCAAACTCTTATGCTCGATGCTCAGAACATCCGATAACCCTAAACCCTAAACCCTAAACCCTAAACCCTAAAGCCTAAACCCTAAACCCTTAACTAGGACTAGGGTCTTCGACAAAGCCCTTCAAGTTTCAGTGCCCCAACGACTTCACTTGCACCTGCCCGCAGCGTGCAGTAATTCGGCATGGCAGCTAGAGGTTCAGGATATTGTTGACACCAACTCTACCCTAGACCCCAAACCGATACCCTAGCATTCCCGTTTTATATGCGCATACATACATGCAGACATACATACATACATATAATTGCACATACACAGCGGTTGCTGGGCTTCTAGGTAGAGCTTGTCTATGTTCTAGACCCTAAACCCTAAACCCTAAACCCTAAACCCTAAACCCCTAAACCCCTAAACCCTTAAACCCTAAACCACGGGGGGCAGGTGGTCCGAGCCGAGAAGCGAAATCGCCGCTGGGAGCTGGCGCTGCTCGGATGAACCGGGTTTAGGGTTTAGGGTTTAGTATCGGGTGCTTGGGTTTCATGGGTTTCGGGCTTGGGCTCAACGGTTTAGGGCTTTGGGGTTCAGGGTTAGGGGTTTGGAGTTTACGGTTTTGGGGTTTGATGTTTCGGGTTTTAGGGGTTTGGGGTTTCGGGTTTTAGGGGTTTGGGGTTTGGGGGGTTTCGGCAGTTTGGGGTTTTAGGGTTTTGGGGTAGATATTATTCTAGAGTTGTATGGAGGAACCCTAACCACGAACTGTATTGGCTCCCTAAATCAGGGCTTCGACTTCAGGCGAGGAATTCAGGGGTCTTGGGTTTTCTTATGGATATTCGATCAGTAGCAAACCTTAAACTCTACTTCTGAACAGGACGCTGGTGCAAGGCTAGGTGCGTTTTCCATTTTCCCTGAATGAGCTTTAGAGGGTATTATGTATGAATATGTTTTTGAGAGGCTTTCAGGGGACAGCCTAGAAGAGCAATAAGTGCAAGCTGACGTACTTAAGCTGACGCTCTGAAGTCAGCGCCACCATGTTTCGCGTTTAGGGCTTCAGTTTTTGGGCTTGGGTCTTTGGGGTTTAGGGGATCCTAAACGCTAAACCCTTAAACCCTAAACCCTAAGCCCTAACCTGGGTCGAAGGGCCCAGAGCACATTTGAGCTCCTGTGTGGGGTTGCCCTATGGCTTTCTCTATCTATTTCTGAACCCCTACCTAAACCATCCAAAGTAGATAAGTACTGGCCCAAAACCTCTGAAAGGCTATTATTCTACATACTTTGGGGGTCCAAGTAAGGGTCCATGTGCCCAAATGGTGTAAACTTTGGCTTTCAAGTAGTCCGTATATAGGTACTCTGGGGCCAAAGTATACACTATTTGGGTGCGCGGAGGCTCCTTTGAACGATGCCAGGACGCGGACCTGAAGCTCTGAAGATCTTGCCCAGACCGTCAAGCGCTACATCGCAGGCCCTACACCCGAAAGCCCCAACCCCCCCCCTCCAAAAAAAAAACAAATCTGCAACCGTAAGACCTATAATGCGGGTTCAGGGTGTGTGGTTCTGCTTTTTGCCCAGGCTCTCCGATTCGACTCTCCTCCACGCAGAGCATGTCGTCAACGCCACAGGCAGTCTCCTACTTACCCGTGGAGCCCGGAGAGGTGTGAACTAGCAATAGCATTCAGAATACGGTCCCCATATAGTTGTAATACTCCTCCCTCTCTCTCTCTATATATATATATATAGATAAATAAATAAATAAATATATATATATATATACACATGTATATATATATATATATACACATACTTGGTTGTTTGTTTTTCCATCTACCCCTACAGCCCCAATTACTCCAATTATCGAGGCCCCTCTATTGAACTTAGGAGGTTTAGAGCAAAGGCGCTCAATGGCTTCCAGAATGTACGATGTGGGTTTGGGGTCCAGAAGTCCAGGGTTTAGGATCAAGAGCCGTGGGTCGTGATGATCCTTAACCCTAAACCCCAAACCCGAAACCCTGAACCCGAAACCCTAAACACAGAAAAGGCCCTTGCACTTTAAAAAACAACTCTTTAAGCCCTTCACCCTAAACCCTGAACCCTGAACCCTAAACCCTGAACCCTGAACCCTAAACCCTGAAACCTGAACCATGAACCCTAAACCCTGAACC